AATTTTTCTTTTGATTTTTCAATACGAAACAAATTCGATTTATTGTCAACTTAAGGTCTTGAAAACCCTTTTCTTAATTAGCACGACACAATTTAGATACAATAAAAACCAAACACAACACTTCCTCTATGGACAAAATTCAAACGAGTCAACAAAGTTTTGGTATGTTTGTTAAAGATATCAAAGCAAACTTATCTCTGCCTAACATTCTGTGTTCTTCTTTTGGGCAAATGTATTTTGGTAGGATTTGCAATGAATCTTGAAAGATCTTTGACTTGCATCTTTGTGCTGAAATCAAACACTTTTTCGGGTCAACTTGCTACCCACTAACTCAAAAACCTGTCCACTTAGTTGCAAAAAGATCCACTTTCTTTACTTTGCAGGTGTACATTATATGATTTGGATCCCAATTAATGTCCCAACTAGTCAACTTGGATTCAAGTTGACCTGGCCGGGTTGTTTGATTGAGTCAAGGTTGGCAATCGCCTTCGTCTGGTTTCATTGTCATGCGAGTTGAAAATGGGTCAACATTTAGAGGCCCAAGTCAAATACGGGCTGGTTTTTTAAAGGCCCAAACAACAATGCAATCTTTCCAGCTGCAAGTGAGCAGTCCTGCACGATCTAGGGAGGACCTCGACTAAAGTTGGGGAGTATAGAGCCGTAACCATAAGTGTTGTAAGGCATGACAGAGAACGTGCTTGTATGATTCATATTTGGAAATGAAAAAGTCGTTGATTATTGGAAGCTTTCACTTTTCTATATTCGAATATGCCTCTTCTCTAAGAACATTACAATCTGCAGCTCAAATAGTCTTTTTGTGAAATCTCTATTAGTTTTATTCTTCTGGGCCTTGACTTTTTTTCAGAATTAGACTTCGATCATTTGTTTTGGGTATATATAACCAAATCTAATCAAGCATTCATCAATTACACTGAAGCATGTGCGTTGTTACCTACTTATATATGGAGGGTATCACTTAAATTTATGGCGGATGGTCTCCTGCTGAGTGAATCGAGTAAAAGTGTATTAGAAGAAATCCTTTTTTTTTTGAACAGGTATTAGAAGAAATTCAAATTGCTATAAATGCACGCGTGTTTATACAATCCATAAAGGATGTGTTTGCTTTAGGTATTAAAAAAGAAGAATTGGAAAAAATATGTTTGGGCCCATCTTCACTCTTTTACTCCTAAGTTTGGATGCACACTTTGAGTCTGATATTATCACCTACAAATAATTCAGGCTCAAATGAATAGTATATTTATAGCCACATACACCTTCATAAATAAACTCATTTTGAGGGTTCTTTATTAATTTAATATTTATATCATTATTTAATACTCCATTCAAACAAAGCATTGAATGAGATAATTGTGGAGTCTATTATTTGTTAATATTTGAACCAAACATGGGATGAAAAGACATTAACACTATAATTAGTCCAAGATCTGGATAGACAGATTTATTCAATCCAGTCCTTCCTAATGCCTAAACTAAACACACCCACAACGTATTGTAACTAATATATTTAACAGTTTTTTGTGAGCTGGTACTTAATTTACCCTTAATTGTGAAAAAATAATCAATACAAAATGTTTTGCATAGATGTACTTTTTTTATGACAAAAATATCCTCAAGGTAACAATTATTTTGCACAAAGAATAGATAAGGAAACTGTCATAAATTATGCAATAATTATATTAAATTTGGCAATTGTTATGTCCCTCAAAACATGAGTTTTTAATCTTAAAAAAAATCTATTACAAAATCCACTGAAGACCGATATTCCTTCTATTTCGATTCAAATTGTTCATAATGTGATATTATAGTGATACCTGACAGTGTAACACATTTATTAACATTTTAATCATTGACAAAAAAATTGTGAAATTACATTCACTAATTTATACACATTTTAAATAGTATGCATCACATAATGTGACATCCATACTAATGAATGACAGTGTTATATCATAGTGTAACATTGTAACATGATACTGTTGTTCAATTTAAGAACAACAAGAGTCATTTAACTTTAAAAAATAATATAAAAAAATAAATTTCAAAATCTTGGCTAAGTCGTTAAGCTATATTACCTGTGGTATAATTTTGAATATCAAATATGTTGAATCCCTTAAAATATAAAACCATTAATTTAATAGATCAAATTCCATAAAAACAGGCATTCAAATAAGAAAAATGATATTTTAGTGAAGAAAATATTTGAAAATCTGCTAATGATCACCTAACTGTAATACATTTCAAGTAAAAGGTATTTATCTACAAAATATTTTAGTAAAAGTATTTTCTCACAATTAAGTAATTTAAAAGGTATAGGCTTATAATTTTTTGTAAATTTAAAGATCATGTGTGTTGGTTTTTTTTTATGGAGTCTAGTTTGTATATGTGATCCGGATGATGACCTGACCCGAAATAATGTTGTGTGATTTTTAATGGAAAATTTTCTGAGGCTTAGTTCATGGAGCGAATGCTTGGGCCGATATACAGTCCAGTGCATAGGACATATAAACCCTGTTGTTTTAGTGATTAGGGTTAATTGTAGATGGTACAGCCGCTCTCTGTATTCAACTCTCTCAATAGTGAAATCCCTGCAGCTTCGTGGACGTAGGCAAATTGCCGAACCACGTAAAATCTGTGTCTCGTTCTTTCTTGTTTTTTATTGCTTTATATTCTTGATTTGTTCTTCGATTGTGTGTGTTTGTTAGTGGATTTAAATCGTGTTAAATCCCAACAACGTGCCTATTTTGGGGGCTAAAAACCTCATTTTTTTGTTTTCTGGTTTCAAAGGAAAAGAATTCTGGTCTGTTTGGACCTGGGATCTCTTTCAATTTTTTGGACAAAAATAACTTTTGTCATCACCAAGAAAAAGAAGAAAAATGGGCTTATCCAAAGGCTTCCATGGAAAAATCGATTTTTTTGAAAACAATCCAAACGGTTCCAAAAACTTTTTTAAGTTTGACTTTTTCATTTCACTTTTTAAACTTTTGTTTCGCACCAAAAAAAAATTCCAAACGAACCCATATGATATACATAAATAAATACATATGTTCACGAAGTTAAATATAAATGTGAAGACAAATCTTTAGTGAATTATATATATTTTTAATTTCATTTAATATCAGGTCACCAAATGCATTGTTCGGTGACCCACTTATAACGGTGGGCCTCACTTAAATTTATTGCAGGTGATCTAATATTGAGTTAAATTGAATAGAAATATATTAGAAAAAATCCAAATTACTTAGAATATATGCGTGTTTGGCGAGTGTATTGCCCGATCGCATGTGTGATATTTTTTTGTTCCCTTTACATTTATTTATTGGATCAACAAATATGACATTGGTACACAATTAGGAGTAGCTCTCCTAATTTTTTTTTTGGTTCAACGGTTAGAGTTATTTGGGCTAGCTTTTACGCGCACCTTAACTAATTTTTTTGCTGGTTCGGTCAAAAGTAGGCCACTAGAACAAAAGTCATTTTTGAACTTCCTCACTATCAACACCCTCACATATATCTCCAACACGAACACCCCCTAAATCATTATCCATGTACATTCCCCTACCAACATCTTCCAACATTTCAGGTATTTCGTCTCGATCATCATCTTCATTGTCGATCATATCATCCTCGACACTATCAACATCATCATTATCATCAGAATCAAAGAATTGGGTGACATGCATAGGAACGGGTTCCCCATGGTGTACCCACGTCGTGTAAGAGGTCATGATTCCTTTCACGTACAAATAATTTTTCACAGTCTCATCATCATGTCATTCTGCATTTATGCAATTCCCACATGGACATCGAATTTTTCCATCTCGGCTCGAACGTTCCATTGCAAAATTGACAAAATATTTGACCCCATCAATGTATTTCGAATCCAACCTATGCCTAATTGTCATCCAACTCTTGTCCATAATTGATAGCCTACAAAATAACATATTTATCAATGTCATGTACCAAGCATCATGCAAACTATGCTGTCAACTCCTTCCTATTTTGGTAGATGGTCATAGCCCATTCAAGAATGCACATTCTATATCATAGGAAACATCTCTTACCGCTTCGTACATCTCTGACTAAAATCTGGCAGCATCTTCCCATAGTTCTCCAAGTACACGACATAGACTAGGTGTCGTTGCTACACCCATCTAGTATGTACACAGAGAACAATGAGATTTGCCACACAGAATATTAAAGAGATGTAACAAGTTAAGCGGTGAGATACTTATTATAATATAGACTTGTGCATTCTCAAACTGTCCGAAATTGGACAATTCAAGAAATCTCCATCGGTAAAAAATACTCTTTGTCCGATGTGGATTCTTGAACGGGTACTAAGGTTTCATGCATGCATGCATAGAATTGAAACCTTAATTTATATTAAGATTTCAATAAATTACCGAAATTCATAACTCGCCAATTCCTAGAAAAAAAATGAAACATAAAAAAAACTACACATATATGATAAGTGATCAAGTGTTGTACTTCTACATATGCTAGCTTGTATGTGTATTCCTAAAAGGGTGGTGAAGAAGTTGAATCTTTTCCCAAGGTGCATGAGGTTTGGGGTAATAGTGGATGGTGTTTGGAGGAGGTTGATGGTTTACTTACTCCTCAGCTGCAGTATGAGATACTGAGTTCTGGAGTTGTGTACTACTATGTACTTTGGAGCATATAAAGTCTTGAAATTCTGTTAAATAGCAATAGTAGGACATACTATACTTTAAGAACATGACAACAAGTAACAATTTTAAAACATAGTCCAATGCTAAATTTAACTCCAAAATGAAAAAAATACTAGTACACAATATATATGATAATACTAATGAACTAAGTCATTGTCTATCAGATGTAGTCTGTGTATTCAGAATGAGCAAACTCCTAATCACTGGTTTGTTACTTGTTCTTTTTCTGAAGCAATATGGAGGAGGGTGTCTACTTTTATGGGTTTTGGAATAGTTTCGAGGGAGTCTCCAATGTGTAGATGTTTGAGACTGATGAAAGGTTTTAAAGTTCCAACTGTGAGGCATGCTTTGGTGAGGGGGGTCTCTATGTTAATTTTTTGGGCTATTTGCAACAAAAAGGTGTAGACCCAATTTTGAAGGCTTAGAATTGGATGCTTATGCTATTTTTGCACAAGTGATTAGTGCATTGTGATGGCTGGTTTATATGAGAAGTTTAGTACGATGGATGATCTCAAGGGTAAGGAATTACTTCAGGACCTAAAGATTGGAAGGCCTTTTTGTGTAATTGCTATGGTTCAGTGGATTAAATGGAAGCCTCCTCTTGTGAATATGATGAACCTTAATGTGGATGGTGCTTCTAAAGGGGGCAATGGTGTATTTAGAAAAGGAATGGTTCTTAGTAATTCTAAGGGGCAAAGCATTATGGAGTAGATTTGGAATCTGCTTGGCAGAATGCAGTATCAGCTGGGGCATATTTACACATTTATTGGCAAATCTGGAAGGAAAGGTGGAGGGGGAGGTATGGAGGAGGGTTCTTGCATTGAGCAAGAAGATGATGGTCATTTTTTATGATAAAGGCTGATTTTTTTTGTGTGATGCAGGCAGTTTCTACTATGCTGTAGCAGTCTGTTGTGCTACAGTAATTGAGCAATTGTGTTTTGCTATGTGGAGTAGACACCATATTTTTTTTTTTTAAGAAATGAAAAATTTTATTTCCAAAAAGAATGACTTACAAGAAGCAAAGAATAAAATGGCTTTAATCCTATAAGATGGATTAAACCATTTTTAAGTACATTTTCGAGAAAACCCCCAAGTCTACAAAATTTTTGCCTGCAACCCCAACACCATGCTTATGTACATTACTGCAAAACTATACAACTCAGTGTGAGGCTGAACAGACTAAAACAGTCCAGTGCAAAGAGAAAGTAGCTCCATGCTCAGCAAGTAAAAGCAAACATGCTCTCAGCACTTAAGCCCCATCCTCCAAACCACGGACAAATAGAACTGATTCAACTGATTTTGATTCATAGAATTTTTAGCATAATGTAATGGGGTAAACTGGTATGATAATGTATGCAAATTTTCCTCTTTTTAGCTCTAGGCATACAATCGATACCAAAGAAAGCACACTACTGACTACACAGCAATCCATTCATCAAAAACAGGGTAACAAACAATACCACTAATCACATAGTATTACTGGCCATATACAACATGAGAGACCAAAAACTAAACAATTACAAAAATTGGTTACCTAGTTTCACAATACATGAGCGAGAGAACTATGGAGAGCTAGAGAACTCCGATGGTAATTTTCCTGAGTTGCACAAAGACAGATCTGAAAATATTACAAATTGGGGTATTACGTTAGCAAATATATTAATTAACGAAGAAATTTCGACAAAGCTGGCATCAAATAAAGAATCTAAAGTTGGAGAGAGAGAGAGTGTGTGTGTGTGTGTGTGTGTTTTGCCTTTGCTGGATGGGAGGGGGGTTTGTGGATTTTAGGAACGATAATAACAAAAAGGCCCGATATATCTAGTGCTAGCATTCAAGGATGAACGTCATTGCAATGAATTTTTCTTTTTATTTTTTTAACTTCCCTATTAGGGCAAACTAAAGTAAGCAAGTATATGATTCAAGCAATTTTGATTCTCCTTCTTTTTTATTTTATCCCTTTGGTCTAATAATAAAAAAGTATAAATTAAATTCACTAATAAAAATAATCATATATTTTCACTCAAAATAACAAAAATAGTTTTGTGTATCTTACGTGTACACACTTAACTTAAAGCATAATACCTTGAAACTGGAAGATGATAAATGCTAGATAATCAAATCAATCGCTGCCCATGTCAACGATCTTCAAAGGCAAAATATATTTCTTCTAGGCATTCCAACGAACACCTTGTATGCACCTATATTTCATAGATTTTTTTGGCATCATAGCTGTAGAAAATAACTAAAAGTATGCCAAAGACCAACAGAACTGTAGGCCACTGACCAACAGAACTGAATGGCATGACCAACAGAACTGATTGGCATATAGGGATGGAGCTAGGATTCTATCATTGAAGGGGCCAAACTTTATACACAAAAACTCAGACCAACAATGTATAGCAGATTTATATTTCAAATTTCAAAATTCCAATGCATAAAAAAATAGTAGCCAAAATAAGATAATTTTATATGAACAAAAATACTAAGAAAAGAAGAAAACAAACAAAATAAATAGTTTTTTTTAATGCATATCAAATGATTTTTTTTGTCAAAGTTGTGTTCGACATTATTTTCTATCATAGAATTCATTATGATCTACATATGAGGGATTTTCTATAAGAGGGTCTATCTCTATAACCTTATTCATTGAACGAAGAATGGGAATTGGGAGTGAGCTAGAATGATAAAATTATTTTGTTAACTTTCCATTGCATATTTTAAACAAAGAGTTGAAGTGGTTGACAAATTTTACTATAGATAGAATATTGTCATAGAAAGAGTAAGATAATATTTTATCGAGTCTTGGTGGGTGGACCATAGGTGCCGAATATATATACTTATTAAGTATATACTAGAGACCAATACTCTTGAGATGACAAAACTCTCTTTGTACTGAATATATAGTGGGGGCTTCAAAAAACACAGGGGGGCCATGGCCACCTCAGGCCATTGAATAACTTTGTCACTCTTAGCATACTCGACAGAAAAATCTTCAAGTCCAACCAAACTTTTCACCCTCCCCTGGGGACTAGATTATACCCATTTCTCACCTAGAAGGAAACCTCACAAAGAAAACCAGGCAATGTACATTTGTGTGGCACACTATTCAATTTTGCTAAGATAAGCATGACAAGTATAGTAGCAATAAGGCTTCCAACATTCTTTTAAGCCTTTTGCGGCATAAATTGTCCAACTGAAGGTTTTCTACGAGATGTTACAAAAATAAGAAATCTAGAATTTTTTAGGATGGACACAATTGTTCATAGTCTTTCATTATGGTTTCTTCCACCGATTTCTTTCGGTTTCCTTCGTGATTTTCTTTAAATTTGATGTGATATCAATTTATTAAAAAAAGAGCATTAGGGCATCTTATAACTTGGTATTCAATTCAGAATAAAAAGATTCAACCAAGGTAAACATGCTGAATCAAAGCACTGGGTTTAGGAACAGGTAAATAACCAATCTTAACCCCAACCTTATCATTTTGAGTGAGAGTTTCTACTGACCCAAACCCAACCCATGTTCAGGGAGAAGCATGATTCAGTCAATCTCTAACCATCCTGTACTTTTGTAAACCAAACTCAATAGTTCTAAGTGAACTATAAATCAATCTATGCAAACTAATTGGTAATGACTAGAGAAGCGCTTAAGCATATTAATCAACTTTGAGTGGTCATAATCTTCCAATGTGAAATACAAGCTCTCTTTACACCCTCCCTTACACGAGATCCAAGCTTGTGCATGAGGCTAACAAACAAACAAACAAACATGCATACTAGTAAATTCAAATGGCTAATAAACTTGGTCCAAGGACCACCCAAGGCTCAGTTCTAACATAGGCCACCCAAGGTTCAACTCTAATACCAAGTGAGAGCATCTAACCCAAAACTAATTGAAAATGAGTGTAGAGATCCCTTAATCATGTTGACCTACCTTGGGTAGCTCTAAGCATCTAATGTGAGATACAAGCTCTCCTTAAGCATTCAACTTAGGTGTGCAGGAATTCGTATCCCCATAACCCCACAAACCATTTTACTGATGCACAACAAGATTTAGTAGCTTAGTTGATTTCTTACTTACACTCTTATCTTTCTGAAGGATCCTTGTATTGAAGTATATCTAATTAAATAAATTCACTTCGTGGTTAAGAGTTGTTGCAGTTTGAGTCACTAGTCATGCTTGGTTACACAGGGTATGATATGGAACCAAACTAGGTGGCAATTGACAATTACATAGGTNTGGTTACACAGGGTATGATATGGAACCAAACTAGGTGGCACTTGACAATTACATAGGTTTTGCATTTGGTGGGGACAAATAAAACACTAAGAAGCTATAATTATGGAGGGACAAATGAAAAACAAAATCTCGAAAAATTCCAGCAAAATGCATGTTATATATAGAAAGAACTAAAATAAGCCAAACCGGCTGTAGTCACCAACAACACATCTTCCTTCAATTGTTTTCAGTCCAACCAAAAATTAGATATAGCAGAGAGAGAGATAGTATGTACTTGCTGGTAGCCTGGTAGTCGTCGATGCTCGATGGAGCTCTAATCAATCGAGTCACTTTAGCTTTTCTTCCACTTCAATTGCACACGAGATTGTGAGAATGAGAGAGAGTAAGAGACTTTATGTGTGTATGCGTGTGTGAGTGAGAGACAAAGAGACTCACGTTGGACATGGCTGTGATGTTAAGATCCACAATCGCTAAGACGAAGAGATAGAGGCGTAGACGACTCCATGAGGCAGAGCCGAAGACAAAGAGGTAGAGATGGGAACTCACGTTGGAGATGACTGTCGTTAACGAGGAAAGGCGCAAACGAAGAGGCAAAGGGTAAGATGATTTAAGGCAAAGGGTAAGATGATTTAGGGCAAAGGCAGCCTTTTGATAAATTCCCGCTATTTTATTTGCTTTAATAACTAAAATTTATCAATTCCTGCCATCATGTTATCTAATTGAATTTAAATGTTAATTTGATAATGTGAATGTTAAATTTACGAATTGAGTGTTCATTAAATGAAATTCAAAAATTATTTTATTAATTTAATGTTAACTAGTTGAATCTAAATGTTAATTTGATGAATTGAGTCTTCATTGAATGAAATTGAAAGTTTATTTGATTAATTTTGAATATTAATTTGATAATTTGAATGTTAATTTGATGAATTGAGTGTTCATTGAATGCAATTTAAAGTTTATTTGATTAATTTTGAATGTTAATTTATAATTTGAATGTTAATTTGACGAATTGAGTGTTCATTGAATGAAATTGAAAGTTTATTTGATTAATTTAATGTTAACTAGTTGAATTTGAATGTTAATTTAGTGAATTAAATGCTTATTAGAAAAAATTGAATGTTAATTAGCAGATGTTGGGTGTTATTTTGGTGTTAATTTGATTAAGTATTATGTTAATTTGATGAATTGAATGTTAATTTGATAAATTAAATTTTAATTGGATGAAGTTACATGTTAATTTAGTGTTGATTTGATGAAATTACATGTTAACTTGATGAAATTGTATGTCAATTTGATAAATCTGAATATTAATTTGATAATTTGAATGTTAATTTGATGAATTGAGTGTTCATTGAATGAAATTGAAAGTTTATTTTATTAATTTAATGTTAACTAGTTGAATCTGAATGTTAATTTGATAATTTGAATGTCGATTACGAACGAATTGAGTGTTCATTGAATGAAATTGA